AATATTTTAAAAAATGTATAGCCTGAATGAACTGTAAGTCACTTTGGATAAAAGCATCTGCTAAATACGTAATTATATTCTTAAAATATTGTGAATATATTACAAAAGAATCAATACATATATATACACAATCTATACCTATGAATATATCTATCTATATATACACACACAAACAAAGATGATTAATTTTTTTCTGGACAGTTTATTTTTTTTTATTCAAAACCATTTAAAACAAAGCATTTTAAGAGTCACTGAATATCCTTCCACGATTGCAGAACATAACTTAATAAACAAGACAAGCTCAGAACACACAGCTCTAAAGAAATCGAAGGTTCACATTGTAATTTTACTCAACATTGTTGCCTTATTTACTTTTTTTTTTTTTTCCTAGTGACAATTTCATTGTAATTTCCCCTTTAAAAAACTAAAAATGAAAACACAGTATTTGTACGTTTAAATGCTAACAACATGGTGAAAACCCCCTCTGAAAACATTTTACAAACACTCTTAAGCTGCCTTTTGAGAATGTTTGGTGATTAAAATCCAAAGATAAACCAAGAAAGAAAGAAAGACAGATAAAGCAAAAAAAAAACAAAGTTCAGGACAATATTCTTGCGTTTTGCCAACAGATTTTGGCGAGATATAGACGCTTGATTAAAAAAATGGGATACAAATGGATATGAATGAAATATAGTAACTCCTGTCAAATCAATCAGTACATAAAAAGCAAGTCAACAAGTCAACTATAAATGTTATTCTTAAAATAAAACTTGGTAAAAAAAAGTTATTTCAAACTGTACAGTCACCAAGTACATAGAAGGATCAGACACTCGTTAGCTTCTCATTTGGCATCGCCAGTAGCGTCAACCTTCTGTGCCTAGAAGAAAGTGATGAAGAAAGAAAAAAAAAGTCAGTTCCGAAGTGATTTGGTTGAGCAATTACCAAACTTTACATGCTTCACTAATTAGTTGCTTTGCTAGAGCAGATATAGTGAACGAAAAGCAGAAGTATGCATTTATTTATAACTCTTTTAAGCGCTTTTCAGACCGACCTGGTCTGCCTTGGCATCTCCGTTTTCAGCAGGGTTGCTGCCCTTCTTCCCCTTGGCTGCCTTCTGTGTAACCAATGACAATAAATATGATTGCAGAAATGATAACAGACACCAACCTTAGCGGTTTGATGGTTAACATGTGGGCAAGGCCTTCTGTCATCAGTGGAACAATATTCAGCGGCTCAATGGTTATGTAATACTATTGCAAAGCTGTACATTCTTACCTTGGGGGCGGCTTTTTTGGCCTTTGGTTCTGGTTTAGGAGGAGCTGGTTTCTGTAAATCAATTCAGAGATGAATTAGACAAAGAAACTTCAGCATTAATAATTATTTATTTATTAAATGGATCCTAAAGATGATACTTACAGCAGACAACCTTGCGGAGCGTCTTGTTGGCTGCAAAAAAAAACATAATACGGAATTAATACCAATCAATGATGTAACCAAATAATCAAGACTGAGTAACCAACATAAAATTTATATTATATTTCACTGGAAAAAAAAAAAAAAGTTAATTGGCTATTATAGTGAATATGGCCGATGTAAATTAATGTAAGCATAAAAAAAAGGTCAGGTTATTATTCATCAAGCACAAGCAGGGTAAATTTAGAATAAAATAAGAAATTCACATAAAAATGTTCTTATGTCAATTTAACTTATACATTTTTTTTTTTTTAAATAAGTGATTTACACAGAAATATGTTCTGCTTTAGCTTCATAAGGCTTGCAGTCTGATATAAGCAAAAAATACCATATAAGACAATAAAATATATAAATACAGTAATATAAATATAAAAAAATTATATACATAAATGGACAAACCTCCTCCTTGCCTTTGGCGGCCTTCTCACCATCAATCTGTAAAAATACAAAATAAAACACGAAAACGTTTTAGAAAACGAAAAAAAAAACAAAAAAAAAATATATATATATATATATAA